TTTCACGCGTAGATTTAAAGGTTTTTTTAGTTTTCTATTCGTGTAACCAAATCTTGAAACTTTTTTATCTTTCTCTCAAGGTATTTTTTATTTTATTTTTTAAAAAAGCAAGAATTTTAGTTATATTATAGTGTTGAAAGAAGATCGTTGCAAGAATTATGAGTTTAACCGTCCTCACATTTTTCCAATCTGCACACAATCACTATTTATTATATTTAAACATTAGATCAAACGCGTTATATATTTGTCTACATTAAAGGTGAATTCCATTAGAATAATTAACTCATTTATAATTTATTTTATATATATATATATATGTATGTATGTATGTATATATTCATTCATTTATTTATATTTATACACATATAGATTATATACATTATTTTACGTTTATTTCCCAAAGATTTGATATTCAAAGCTTCAAAGTTACAGTCAATATTTTATCATGAAACGTAGTAACGATAACAGCAATCAAAGTCATGAAGATGCTAAAAAAGCAAGGCATAATCCAAATAATAGTAGCGACAATGTTCCTTTAGCAGGAGGTAATGAAAATTAAAGATTTTTCACTGATTGTTTTTAATTTACATAAATATTTTTATCAAACACTTACTAATTCTTACTAATTGCTGATTATTATTATAAAGCTACGCCAAGATTAAACCAGCCCATAAATCAATTTTCAAAAGCGGATGATGCTAATATCAACATTACTAAAAATCTTATTGGTCGAACTGTATGTCTTAGAAATTTACCATCAGATGCAGAAGCTCATAAACTTATAAATCAAATCAAAGTTGGTCCATTAGAGTCCGTCAGATTCCGTCCTGAGAATTCTTATGCTTTGATTTCCTTTATGAGTGCCGATCTTGCAAAAACATTCTATGATGAAGTAATGACCAAACTATTTTTTTATGAAGGTCAAGAACTTAGAGCTAGTTGGGGTGAACCATCGGCTATACCTGAAAGGGTTCAATTAGCTATGAATGAAAAAAAAGTTTCACGTAATGTTTTCCTAAAGAATTTGGATGGTTCATTCACTGAAGAGACTTTATATAGAGATTTGGCTGAATATGGTTCTATTGATACTGTGGAA